AGTTAATTTCAATTATTCCAGAACATTGGAAAATACCATTTTTGATAAATCAAACAAATAAGCCACGTATGCCTTTTAAATATCGTCAGCATGGTCTAAGCTACACCTCAACGACCATAAAAACTGGTTCAAGAGGCTTCCTGGTGAAACAAAGAAGTGTAAATAGTATTGGAGAATTATGGTTTTCATAAGGTTTCTCATTATAGGAAGAAGCAGAAGACTCTTTAGTGTTTAAGTTTTCCCCCATTTTTTACTGCTGAGCTTGTAGAGAAGAAGACAAATATTCAATTTAAAACTCAATTATTCTCCTTCCAAGCCTGAATCAAAGAAGAGTACATCGTATTAGAGAATCATGGTTTTCATGAAGTTTCCTCATTATAGGAAGTAACAGATAACTCTTTAGAGTTTAAGTTTTTCCCATTTTTTTTTACTGCTAAGCTTGTAGAGAAGAAGACAAATATTCCATTTTAAACTCAATTATCTCCCTTCCAAGCCTGAATCAAAGAAGTGTACATCGTATTAGAGAATCATGGTTTTCTTCAAGGTTTCTCATTATAGAAAGAAGCAGAAGACTCTTTAGAGTTTAAGTTTTCCCCCTTTTTTACTGCTGAGCTTGTAGAGAAGAAGACAAATACAAATTACATTTAAACTCAATTATCTCTCTTCCAAGCCTGAATCAAAGAAGAGTACATCGTATTAGAGACTCATGGTTTTCATGAAGGTTTCTCATAGGAAGAAGCAGAAGTTTTTCCTCTTATTTTACTGCTAAGCTTGTAGAGAATAGACAAATATTCCATTTTAAACTCAATTATTTTCCTTCCAAGCCTGAGATAAATCTCCACCTATTTGATATAATAGGATATTTATCTAGAAGTCCCTGCAATGTGGCGACAACTTGGAATTTTCGATAAACACATCTGAATTTCATTTTAAATTTGAACTTCATCCTAAAGAACTCTATGTATATCTGTTAATGATTTGGGAAGCAAGCGGAAAATATTCATGTATTGACAATATGAATATATTTGAGTATATTAATTCCATTTCTAACTCTCACACATTTGACATTGTAGTTTTAATTTACTATCCTTGTACGGATGTAATAACGCAAATTAATTATAGATATTTGATTATTCTATTTTTTACGAAGAGAATTCAAAAGGAAAATGGCGCCCATATTGAAATATATCTAAAAGGTTTATAATTTTCAATTATAAATATTAGAAATATTTTTGAAGAACTTTAATAATTCGATTTAATATGATAGATAATGATAAATATAAATTTTATTCCCGAATAGTTTATTTGGTATGCACAATTATATATTTAAAGGAATAATATTATTCATTATTTATAATCATTCACACAGGATAAATATTTTCTAAATAATGTGCATTTCACTTAACCTTAATTGTTACACTTTTGAAACCTCTGTCTAGAACATTTGTTACTAAAGCTTTATAAATCAATTTCAAACTCTTTACAATTCGATATTTTATATAAAAAATGAGAACTAGGTAAAACCCAGAGAGTAAAGAAATTCAATTCATAGATAATATTTATATTACTTATGTATAATAATAAATATATTTCACAAACCGTTTTTAATTAATTAACACACTTTCTAGGTAACCTTTATTATATATATACATTAATAATTTCAAAATTCAAATTTTCTTCCTACCTTCCTTCATTTTGACATTATCCTTTGTAATTATTTTGTCAAAATCAAAAAAGAATTCTAACGAATTTTGTCGAAATCAAGATAGGATTCAAACAAATTATGTCTCTATTTTATGAATATATTTTATTTGGTATACAAGGTGCGTTCATTAATTTCCAGGACTGGTTAAAAAATAAAATAAATGAAAAAGCTAAAAAAGAATTGTATACAGAGTTAAATATTGGACATTCTACCACACCTGACTGAAAGCACGAGTCTCGTGGCGCACACGCCGATCTAAAAATAGAACAAAACAACTTCCTTGTAAGGTTCGCATTTCTAATTTTAAAATGGCACTTTCGAAGAGCAGAGAATCTGCATTAAGTTTTGTTTTAAATTGAAAAAAAGTGCTACTGAGACGTATGAATTGATTAAAGAAGCTTTTGGCGATGCAGCTTTATCCCTTTCAAGAACTTTTGATTGGTTTTCACGCTTCCAAAAAGGTCGGGAAAAGGTAAACGATGATCAGCATACTGGGCGTCCAAGATCATTATGTTGCGAGGAAAGCAAGCTCAAAATAATGAAATTAATTAAATCTAACAGAATAATTTCTATTAAAGACTTATCTTCAGAGACCGGACAATCTGTAGGACTGTATCATCAAATAGTAACAAAAGATTTGGACATGATCCGGACGTCTTCAAAATTTGTTTCCCGGATTCTATCAGAGGAACAAAAGGAGGTTAGAACGGATGTCTGCAAAAACATGGTTGAAATGACTCGGACCGATCCAGAATGGATGCAAAAAATCATCACCGGGGATGAGACATAGGTGTATCAGTATGACCCGGAAACCAAACGTCAATCCAGCCAATGGATTGAAAGAGGGGAACCGAAACCCAAAAAGGCAAGATTTACAAAATCCAAAGTCAAGACATTGCTTGTTACATTTTTTGATATTAATGGTTTGGTTCACCATGTATTTATTCCTTTCGGACGTACAATTAATCAAGGGGTTTATTTGGGGATAATGAGGCGCTTAAGGGAGGCAGTGCGCCTTAAAAGACCTGAAAGATGGCAAAACAATGACTGGATACTTCACGTCGATAATGCGCGGCCGCACACAGCCCATGTTGTTTTGCAGTTCTTGGCCAAGCATTCAACCATACAGATCCCTCATCCACCCTATTCCCCCGACTTAGCCCCCAATGACTTTTTCCTCTATCCTAAATTGAAAATGAAGTTAAAAGGGAGGAAATTTGACAACGTTGATATGAAACAAGCTGAATCGAAGGCAACCTTGAGGAACCTCTCAAAAAGTGATTTTATCTCCTGCTTCGACAATTGGAAAAAAAGATGGAACAGGTGTATTGAGGCAGGAGGGGCATATTTTGAAAAATATTAAATTATATTTTTTAATTTGTTTTATTTTTTCAAAGATACAGAGCAGTCCTGGAAATTAATGAACGCACCTTGTATTAAATAATTGTTCATATACACATTGAAAAAAATATACATATATTAAAATATTTAATATTTCGATGTGTGTGTTACGATTGTTGATAAATTTTTAAAATGTTCTTACTAATAATGATTACTTAAGAAAATTATTAATTAATAAAAGTTAACAATTGAGACACCCATGAAAACCAACTATCTTATAAAATATATTTATCAAAATCATAATTTTATTTTCTGACTAATCGATATTTGATCATAGATATCATTCTTAGGTTTGTTCTCTTTAGTGTCTTTTTGAACCAACTGATTCAGTGTATTGTGAATAAATTATAATAATTATTACGTAGATAATATAAGTTAGAAAAGATAAACTTCAGAATGGTAAAGCAATTCATTTTGAACGAAGAAAATCACAACTTCTTTACATTATAGAAAAGAAAGGCAAAAAATGAAAATGGTTATATAAAAGAATACCTTTCTAAAGTAAATCATCTATTGATTAGATGTTAAAGATTTTGCTAAAATATATTTGTGATGAAAATTGTCTCAACCAATGCGTTCCTATATCTTTCTTAGTATTAAAAACTCTTTGGCGCTACTAAGCTTATATATATATACGAAAAAAATAATTATAAAATATATATATTAGAAAACAAAATTGGCATTTACTGACCGCTCATATGAGAATTTTAGAGGGCAGAACGCCATCTAGTATAACAAAAATCAATTAAGCGTTTATTTATCTCGTTCCAATGATATTTGGCAAACCTAATTTCTTGATAAATCAAGAAAAGTCAACCACATAGGCGTTTCGGGCTGTTGGTCCACGCCAGCGTTGTGCAGACTTGTTTTTAACATCAACACCTGACTATTTTTATATTATTTTCTTTTTTCTTTCATACAGACACACAGATATACACAAATGTATATAATATTGTGTGAGAAAGTAGATGATGTCTGTGATGAACAAATTAAACATGTAGACTTCCCGTGTACATTCAGTAAGTTAGGTCAAGGTGTAATTAAGGGAAGATGATGTAATTAATTGCATAGCGATCAATATTCGGGATCTGCTTCAAGTCCAATCTTCTAGTAACATCTACATATAGCATCATTTAATAACATATATTTATATATGTCTTTTAATAATTACTTATATGATAGCTTATAATTTGTTTGATAACATGTACGTTTTCATTTATGATTCATTTACAATTTTGATATTTATCCCAAATTTATATTCAAAAGTCGGTAGAAATTTTATACATAGCTGTTTGTATCGTAATAAGTAGTGTTTGCAAACTATTTATATCAATATATATATTTAAAATAAAAGCATATTTTGGATCAATTTATTTATTAAAATTCAATATTTCGACGAGGCTGTTCGCCTATCTTCTTCTCGGAAAAATTCAAAAACCTTCTCAGCTTATTATCCGCGTGATGCGCGCACGAGAAGTGTTGTTTTCTATAGCATATGTTGGTGTGACCAAACTATTATTATTATTTATTTAAGTAACCCAGGTTCCTGGAGCGTACAGAAGTCGCCAACTACCCGGGATGTCCTTCTGACCTAAGTCTTCTTGGATCTATTTTAATTTGAATGCTATAGAAAACAACACTTCTCGTGCGCGCATCACGCGGATAACAAGCTGAGAAGGTTTTTGAATTTTTCCGAGAAGAAGATAGGCGAACAGCCTCGTCGAAATATTGAATTTTAATAAATGTATTGATCCAAAATATGCTTTTATTTTAAATATCATATATGGATTGCTCTATATTTAACATATATATATATATGATATGATATATTATAATACAATATAATGCGGCTATGGTTATAGAACAACGTTTAACAAATTTTACCGCAAATGTTTCCAGGATCACCTAGTGGACATGGCATCTTCCCGGTAAGTGTAACACTGTGGGTTCGATTCCCATCCCTGGACACTTTTATTTTTCCGTTCATCCTTACTCTTCACAATTCATCCTTTCATACCTCATCCAGGGGGTCGGTGGAAGGCTGGTTAAACCGTTTGGTTTTCGACCACTACGACCCGGGTTCGATTCCCGCATTGGACACTTTTTTTATGTTAAAAAAAAAATGCTCCAATGGCCCCCTGATTCTTGCAAAAGTCCAACCCCACCAGCGAGTGCAAGTAACCAAACGGGGCTCTGGCACATTTGTAAGTGCAAAGTCGAACTGCTTTTCACATTTGTAGGCATGTGGTGCGCTTACAGTAAAAGCAGTCGCTAACTACCCACCATGATTATCATGGCCTGTACCCCGTGTACTAGGGATAAGCAAAAAAAAAATCATCCCTAAGGATAGGAATAGTTGTTATTTCTCCTTAAATAATTAAAATTACGATTTTTCTTTCTGTAAAAAGAAACATTTGCGGTAAAACTTGTTGAATGTCGTTCTATATATGATATATTTTGTTCTGAAAATAGAGTAATCTATACTTAAATCATTAGATAATAAAAAGGCATATATTGTATTGAATAAAATATTTATTTGTATAATATTGGCAAATAAATCTTTTATTCAATCCAATATATGCCTTTTTAATATCTAATATATGATATATGTTATAATATATTTTCTTTAGTTCACTGTCATATTAAATATTGTTGAGATAAGAAATTATAAGGTTGCTTTTTAGATACATGAGTATGGTGGTATTGTTTGGAGTCGTAAATCTTTTGGAAAATACCAAAAAATAATATAAATCACAATTTGCTTTGATTAAGCTGGTGAAAATAATTGTTGAAGAAATACCTGAGGCGAGTAGAAGAAAGAAAATAAAAGATTACGTATATACATATTCACAAAAGATTTGAGCAGGCTAACGTAAAATTCGGAAATATCTTTATTTACGGGCTGCTAACCAAAAAAAAAAAAAAATAATAATAATAAAGACGGCCAACGTAAAAGAGAGAAAATATGGTTTTACGGGCTACTAACCAAAGTTATGATTTTTGAGCCCAAGCGCATTTCAGGTGGCAAGGGATCCTAGGATCTGGCGGCAGGAGATGTCTCGCAGGGGTGATGGAAACGTTGGGCAAGCAGGGGAACAGCGCCAGGATGTAGTGAGGCAGGAGCCTTGAATAGGTCAGGAATCCAGAAGAAGTGGCAGATGGAATTGGAGGCAGAAGGGCCAACGTAAAACAACAACAATGGGTTTATATAACGAAATCGGCGACATCTGGTGGTAGACTTTACAGAGTAGTTTGATCTATAATATAATTCTAAATTAAATAAAAATTCATATAACATATATGTACCTAGAGAGACATCACTCCCTTTAATTATGCATTCTGATGCACTATTAAAATGAGATATGCCTCCCTAGGTAAATGAATATAATCCTCCTGAAACATTATGTTGAATATATTTATATTTATATTTCATATATAGGATTAGTACTGTTATAAAAGCAACAAATTTGAATTTGGTAATTAAGATATTTCACGCTCCAATAACATTTCTATTATAAATTGAAATAGTTTTCGAATATATTAGAAGCATTACCAGCTATACCCCTTTAGCTGCTAGTTTCAATTTTAATAGAAAGGCTTCCAATTCATTTTATTATTTGTCTATTCTATTCATTTTTATATCTACATTTCAATACAATATTCTCAATTCAATAATAATATTATGCTTAGAATATAACTTTTATATTTAATATAAAATATTTAAAGATAACATTACACAAAACTGTAATTTAACATTTTATAATAGATAGGGTTATATTAGTTATTAAATGATAATATTGTAGTATAATTATACACCTATCCCCCGATTTACACGGTACTTGTTTTACACGTTTTCGCTCTCACACGGGTTTCCAAATATATATATATATATTTTGTGTTTATCGCACTATACTAAATTCTACTGTGATTGAACACATGCGCTGTGTAAACATCTCACGAGGAATCCCGAGCTTATTTGCTGACTACATATTTTAACCTGTCAATGCATTTTATTTTTATTTCTGTGTACACCTATCCCCCGATTTACACGTTTTTCTCAGGAACGTATCAACCGTGTAAATCGGGGGATAGATGTATATACCTTTTGATACAACTATTATCTTTCCATAAAATGAATCGCATACCTTTCTAAAATATAAAAACTATACGGAAGAAACATTAGACAGAATATCTAATATGTCTTAAAATAATAAAACAGGTTTCTGGAGGTGAGTTTCTTCTGATTAATATTGTTACAAAGTATTTATTTATAAAATAAATGGATTTAAAAGCACGAATGTTTCTTTTATACATAATACAAACTTCTACTGTCCTTACTGCGATGAAAAAATATATTGGGAGGGCTTGGCTCATCAGTGGTGAACCAAGCCCTCCCATTATATTTTTTCATCGCATTAAGGGCAGTAGAAGTTTGTATTATGTATAAAAGAAACATTCGTGCTTTTAAATCCATTCATTTTATATGTATAGATGGCGCGTTATTGCTTTGTGTTAAAGTATTTATTAATTTCATTATTTTTATTAACAGAGTGGTCATTTTTATGTTTATATTTTGCTACTCTGTAAATTTCCCTCTTGGCTTATCTTTTGTTTACCATTCATAGTTTTGGTATTGCCTGAAATAAATTGCTGTCTCATCCTGAAGTTTGTTTTCCCTAATTTTCCACGTGGCAATATAATCTCAAGTTTTCAGGCATCTCTGCCCTTCTACAGGAGAACATAAAACGAAACCTGTTGTATTATTTTAAATCTATATTTGGAAGATTTAAATCAAGTGACTTAATAGATCTTAAAATAGCCAGTTTTATAGTTTGACAATTATTATTGGAATTTATTGCTCAATATTTGACGATAATTTTGATATGATTTATGTGATTTGTAAAAAGAATTTACCTTCGTATAATTCCGTATAAATATACTCATGAACAAAACTTATGTAAGTTGCATCTTTTAGCATATGTATATCCTATTTTTTATTTTATTTCAATTTAAAGCGCTATGTACCCCTAGGGACACTTGCGCTGTCATACATGTATGCCTTTACATTTGTCTATGAATATATATATATACAATACTTTTAGGCCGTAAATAGAATAGTCATATGATGTTAACAATGAGAAAGAGAGAGAAAAACGAGAAAAAAAAAAGAACTGTGTACAAAATAAAGAAGTGTCTGGCAATATGTATAATAAGCATAATATAAATTTTAGCATGTATATCGTGATACAGACAATAACTCTGAAATATATTTGATACACAGTGACCTTTAATGAATACATACGAGATAACCATGTTTGATCAAAATTGCCTCTTTATTCTTATAAAAAGGTGACAGGCTACATTAAAATCTTTCTACTTTCTCAAGTTTTGTCCATCAGTGTATATTGAAATTATTGCTATCCTCTATAAAAATAAATTTCGTTTCCAACGACCTAATATCAGGTAATTCAGTCAGGTAATTTGAGAGCTTGTAACATTGCATTGTGTGATGGATCAATTGAGTTTATTGCTACTGTGCTTGTAATGTCTGTCCCAGAAATAAAGTACAATATAAAATGTTGACGTTGAAATGTGAAATATTGTCATTTAGTATTAAATTATATCATTAAAGCGATATATTATGTCATTAAAGTGAAATCATTTTACCTCTTACTTATAGATCGCGCGTTATTTACTTGTTAATAAACGGAAATTTGTTATATTAAAAGTGAAAATGTTATGAATACACATACAGATTTAATTAAAAGGCATATATTGGATCAAAATATCATTTATTTTACCAATATTTCAGTTGGCTGAATGCCAACCTTTTTCATGGTGTTATAACATTTTAAAGTGTGTCAACAACAAACTCAACGCCTCATTTGTTGTTGACACACTTTAAAATGTTATAATACCTTGATAAAGGTTGGCGTTCAGATAACTGAAATATTGGTAAAATAAATGATATTTTGATCAAATATATGCCTTTTTATTCAAAAATTTATATATGGATTGCTCTATTTTCAAATACATACATATGTATTAGAGTATATAATTACGGGAGGATGGCATTCAGGTAGCTAAAGAGGCATCTCTTCTTTCAAATATGCATGACAACAATGAAATATGTGTTCATCAACCCAGGGTAAAGTGTAGATTTGGTAATGAAAAATTAACCACCCGCACTTTTTTGGCAAACTCAAACAAAATAATATACTAATTGCTTTTTGTCCGAATTTACAAAAACTAACGTTTTTTTTTTAAATATAATATATATATCATTTTATTTCTGATTATATAATTTATCCATTCAAAATGGTTCGGTCACTCTAACTTATATAAACAATACTTCTCGTGCATCACGCGGATGATGGGCAGAAGGAGTTTGAATTCCTAGAGAAAGATAGGCGAACAGCCTCATCGAAATATCGGAAATATTTTATATGAATTAAATTGATAAAAATTGTGTCTTTATTTTGATATATATATATATATATCAATATACGCCTTATATATTTATTTATAGATATTATTATGGATTGCTCAATATTTAAAATAATATATATATATATATATATATATATATATATATATATAAATAATTAAAAACTAATATTTTGAAAAGAAACAAACTATTTAACATCGATTTGAAAATATTTAAACTAACGTTGTGGCTCATTATTTACCATTTTTACGTTTTGTAAAGTAGTGATGAACCTAACGTATTGTTTAAATACATATTTCAAGGTAAAGTTGCCACTTTAGGTATATATATAGAAGATAATTTTTACGAGAGGATAATGATCTATAAAAATAATAGTTGTCTCGTCAATTACCCTTCCGTGAAAATTTCCATCTATATTTTTCCATAGAGGATTTAGGTTTAGTCACTTTAACAGCTAAAAACCTCTTTAGCATTTAGTGAAGATTTCAGTTAATCTCGTATGTACCTCATCAAATAGAA